GTATTTTACAATTTATTATTTTATCCTCAATTCTCTATTGTAATTTGTCAACTTGTCAATTTGTAGTTCATATTTCAAATCAATATACATTATATTTTTTTATATGTCGCATTTCTCAAATTAATCAAGTTACAACTTACACCTTAGAAAGTTAGAAACTCACAATTAATTATATTATATTATTATTACTTATTACAAAATGTATTAGAATTAATTGTTCTCAATTCTCAAATGTAATTCCTATTTCACATAAATGCACTTGAAGATTGTTTTATAATATCCAAAAAGATGTATATTTTAACATTAAAAAAATATGAGAAAACTGTCAAATAGGTCCTCGAACTTTCATAAAAAGGTCAATTAAGTCCTTCCATAGGAGGTTCTGTCTGGCCTTCGCGATTTGGGGTAGTTCCCGGTGAAATTTTTTGATGAAATTTTTTAAGCATCTTATTCACCAAGTCTAGTTTACTCATACCAAATTTCAGCTAAAAATTCAATCGGGAACACATTCAAATTAATTCTTGAAGATAACTGCGCATTTTTGCGTTCTCGATTTACTTTGAATGCGCTCCCGATTAAATTTTTAGCTGAAATTTGGTATGAGTAAACTAGACTTGATGAATAAGATGCTCAAAAAAATTCATCAAAAAATTCCACCGGGAACCGCCCCAAATTGTGACGACCGGACAGAGTCTCCTATAGAAGGACTTAATTGACTTTTTTATGAAAGTTCAAGGACCTATTTGACAGTTTTCCCAAAAAATATATATATACAGGCCCGACCCGACCCGGCGGTTCACCCGGCCCGGGGCCCGGCCGGGTCACCCGGCCCGAACCGGCACCCGTCTATTAGCGGGCCGGGGCCGGGCCCAACTTCTGCAAACCGAGGCCCGGCCGGTTCTGCTTAGATGGTATTAGTTCATGATATTGTTTTACTCGTACACCGTATTATATAGGAGAGACCGAGAGAAAGTTCATGATTAAGGGAGTGTTTGTGCCTGATTGCTTCTACTTTAAAAAAGTGATTTATTAAAGTGATTTTGGGGAAAATACTTAATAGTAAAAGTTGGTAGTGTTTGAGAAAAAAGTGATTCTGAAAAGTAAAAGTTGGTAGTGTTTGATAAAATAAGTGCATTTTGTGTAATATAAAAAGTGAAAAGCAGTTTAAAGCACCCTTCCACCTGCTTCCAGCTTTTAAGTGACTACTTTAAGCAGAAGCTGTCATTTGAAAACACCCTTTTCAGCTTTTTTAAATCCAAAAGCTAAATAGCACTTTTTTAAGCAAGTGCAAACACTCCTTAAGTTGCCGTCAATCCCCGGCATGGTTTTTCTTTTGCCGCCACCATTCTATTGTCAAAATTAGGGCAAAGGCGTAAAAAATTAAATTGATACTACCTCCCATTTTATGTGTCTCACTTTGACGTGACACGATTATTAATGAAGTGTTTGAAAAAATAAAAGTTGTGATTGAAGTTTAAGGATGTTTTTACTTGGACTGTAATTTGTCCCAGACCAGACCAGTCCAGTTCAGACCAGACCAGACTTGGATAGTTATAAAAATACAAAGAACCCAGACATTACCAGACCAGACCAGACCAGATCAGACCAGACCAGGCCAGACCAGGAAATTACAGTCCAAGTAAAAACATCCTAAGTATAATAAAGTGAAGGGGAGTCCGTTTTAGTGAAACGGGGCTAATTTGACTTTACACCCCACTTTTTGAGCAATATTGGATTTTGCACTCCGTTTTAAAAAAACTTTGATTTTGCACCCCTTCATATAACATTTTGTGAAACAAAATTTCTAAATGGGATGCAAAGTCAAAGGATTTGTAAGTTAAATGGGGTGTAGAGTCAAAGATTTTCTAAAATGGGGTGCAAAGTCCAATATTAGCCAAAAAGTGGGGTGCAAAGTCAAATTCCCCCTAAAGTGAAATGGTGTAGGTCACATATTTCTTTCCAAAAAAAGGAGACACTTATTTTGAAACAACCCAAAAAGGAACGTAGAACAGGTAAAATGGGACGAAGGGAGTACTTCGTATATTTTATATTACCAATGTAAAATAGTCTACTACCATCCCTTACGTAGAATACTTTAAATGATACTACGTACTAGGGGTGAGCATGGTTGGTTAACCGTAGTTTGGTTAATCGATTTACAGTTAACCGAGATTTCGGTTTATATATTTATAATATCATTAACCGTGCCGCAATGATGGTTAACCGAGTAATATTTAACCACAGTATTGATTAACCATTAATTGGTTAACCGAAAAAACGTCTTAGTGAAACCATTAAGAGATACGTAGTATTAAGTGCTAACGACCTGGGTTCCATCTTAGTGCATGCGCACAGTATACATACCGAATTAATAGACTTAAAATTTGTTTTCAATTATTAATTCATTTTGCAATTCATGTAGGTAATTAATCCTGTGGATAACCACTACCTCACACACGTATATATGAATGTGTTAAAGGTAGTCGGTTACTCGGTTAGTTGTTGCTAAGCTACATGCATTTCACGCACTGACAAGCTCTAGGCTAATGGCTTGTATTAATATTCCAGTAAATCAATTAAATTAATCGGTACTTCAATTTATATAGGGAGTATACTAAATGGAAAAAACACCAGCTTTAGAGTCTCGAGTTTTTTCTCGAAATAATGCTAATTAAATAAATAATTCTCAAAATACTGTTGGTTAAAAATAATTACCAAAATACTGCCGGGTTAACCGTGGTTAATGAAAGCCGTCACTTGAAGTGGCGGCTCTTCTGTTACAGTACAAAAACCGCCACTCCAAGTGGCAGCTCTTCTCTTACAGCACATTTTGTACATATATAAAATGCAGTATGTTTCAACAATTTTTTTTAACTATCTTCCTGATTTGATTTTGAGCTGAAATTTGGTATGAATAAACAAGACTTGATGATGAACATGCTCAAAAAAATTCATCAAAAAAATTCAACGGGAAAACCCTCTGATGGTGTTGTCCGCACAGGAGTTCCGGTCAGGACGTCGTGACATGAATGAGACATTTATATGAAATTTGAGTTGCTTCTGAGTCGAATTTTTTGATAAAATTTGGTGATCGTGTTCTTCCTAAAGTGTAGGTTATGCTTACCGAATTTCAGATTAAAATTAAATCAAGAAGTTACTTAAATAATTTTTTGATAAAAATGCATTTTTAGACCTAAAAAATTATACGATTTTTAAAAATTTATTTAACTAACTTCCCGATTGAAATTTAATCTAAAATTTGGTGTACATAATCTACATTCTATAGGAACATGCTCACCAAATTTCATCAAAAGAATTCGACCCGGAAATAGCTCAAATGAAATAGGCCTAAAATTGCAACTTTAGGCCTACCTTACATGAACATTTTCAGAAGGCACATGACAAATTTTTTGCCACGAAAATTTTAGAAATTATGCAACTAGATCGTTTGGTATATTATTTCCCGGAAGCAATGTTTTATAATTTCTTATTGTTTCATATTTGTTGATAATTTATCCATAAGTCATCATGTTTTAGCTGCATGTGTTATATATGATATGCAATTTCTTTTTTACATTACTTTGAGCATTTCTATCAATAGTTTGTATGTTGTAGGATTACACATGCTTCTCTAGATTACAGAATTTGAATTTACCATTGTTTTCCAGACACGAGCTCAAGTGAATCGGGCGAAACTCTGATTATGCAATTGGAACTTAGAGCAATAGTACCGGTTGCTAAAGTTGATATGGGTGTTGAAACTATTTCCAATGGCCATAAACTACCCCAAAGAGAGTTCATATTTATTTAGTAAGTGGAAGAGAAAGAATTGTTTGTAAGGGCATAATGATGATAGTGATAGCTCGAATCTGCAGTTGGTTCCTTTCAATCGGGAAGTTAGTTAAATATTTTTTTTAAAATTGCATAATCTTTTAGGCCTAAAAATGCACGTTTTTCAATAAATAATATCACTAACTTCTTGATTTAATTTTAATCTGAAATTCCGTGAACATAACCTACACTTTAGGAAGAACATGATCACCAAATGTCATCAAAAACTTCAACTCGGAAGCACCTCAAATTTCATAAAAATGTCATATTCCTGTCACGACGTCCTGACCGGAACCCCGTGCGAACAACACTATAAGAGGGTCTTCTCGGTGAATTTTTTTGATGAATTTTTTTGAACATGTTCCTCATCAAGTCTAGTTTATTCATACCAAATTTCAGCTCAAAATTCAATCGGGAAGATAGTTAAAAAAAATTGTTGAAACATACTGCATTTTATATATGTACAAAATGTGTTGTAAGAGAAAATCACCACTTCAAGTGACGACTTTTCTTGGAAATTATTTATTTAATTAGCATTATTTCGGGATTTTTTTTTAATTTTTAATTTTTTAATTTTTGATTGTCGGTTAACCGGCGGTATTTAGTTTCAAAACCGTAACCGTACCGTGAACCACTTTATTCTTTCAATTGCTTAATCGTACCACAAGTCTTTAAAAACAAGGTACAATTAACCAACAAAACTCCGGTTTTTCGGTTATTTACTGCGGTTAAGCGGTTGCGGTTTTTTATGCCCACCCCTAGGTAGTACAGTGTAAAATGTTTTAAAAAAGTGTCATGCAATTTAAAACAAATAATTAAAACAAACAGTGTAATCTTTTTACGCTCCTTCATTTTACAAATTTACATGCAAAGTCCTTACTTTACAACATACGGAGTACCGAATGAGTCCTATGTCTATTCATAAGTCTCACAATGAGTCCTATGTGTCTATTCATAAGTCTCACAAGTCACAACTGTTTGAATGTTATCTAGTATCTTTTCTCAATTTTGATATAAAAAACTGATCCTTTATATTTAAAAAAACAATAAAATATATATAAAATAGACATCTAGCAAATCAATCCTAAACAAACCAAATCATAAAATTTTAGTCTATTTAAAAACATCTTTTTTATAAGATCAAAGATTTCATAGAATATCATTTTATCTTTCAATCTTCACTTTTTTTGTCTCAAAATATACACTACGATTTAATGAAAATGAACTAAATATCAAGCACTTGACTCAAATTTTTACAGAAAGACGTCACTCATTCGATACGCATTACATATACTGGCTTTATATAGTTCTCTTGCCTATATAAAAAATTAGTGCTAGACTACTAGAATTGAATTGGAATCAAACCTTGAACATAGCAGCTAATGACAAGCTCAGGAACCCCACTGAAAAATAAGGTGGGGCTATGTGGCAGCGATAAAATCATACAGTAGCATATTTCAAAGCGAAACTAAAATAGAGCATTGCTTATTATATCAAGCTAAAGACTCTATCTATACACACAGATTTCTTCACCTCAAAATTGTGTTGGGCAGCCAAGAAGTTGAGGTGAGCTGGAAGGGCTCGAATGCTGACTTGACGAGAATAGGCTTAATTCCACAAAGGCCCCACCTGAAGCATTGTCATCCTTCTCCAACGTACGAAATGAAATTGAACCTTGTTTTCCTGACGCTTCGAAGTTTCTCCCAGGCCTTTTTGGGATGCTTCCTCCTGGAAGGCTTTGATTAGTAATTAAAGAAATGGTGTCGTTATGCAAAGCCTCAAAATCTCTTTGCACTTCCCTCAAGGCTAATGAATCGGCCACAGGAAAGTACACAAGCAAGCATATGCCCGTTCCCGCACAACATAAAAGTGAAAGAAACCCCAAGAAAGCAAGAATCTCAAAGACCAGTCCTCCCGGTGTACACAAAGAGGATAAACCTAGAAAGACAACCCTCAATGGTAAGAAACCCGAAACCAAAAGGACTAAAGTGTAAACCCTCTTTTGCAAGCCCTTGTTGATGACCAAGTGAAGGATCCTTCTCCCAAGCCAGAACAAATAGCACGTCAAAGTGACGGTAAAAAGACCGAGGCAGATGGTACTTAGCAAAGGGTAAGTGCATAGAGTGATGTCATCACTATCCTTTGCTTTAGGTAGTGAAGTGGCTCTTGTGAAGTAGTGAGGCAATTTCACCTGGCTAAATTTTGGTAAGATAGAAATGATAAAAATCTGAAGAACAAACATTGGGAGACAAAAGAGAAGAACGTAAACGGCAGTTTTCCCATTCCATTTTTGGTTCAGTGTCAGCGATTTCTGTAGGGATGCACGAAGAAGGAACACAACAATGAGGAAGAAACATGGTTCTGCAAACCCTAGACTCGAAACAATGTAACATTTGCAAATGGTTTCCTGCAATTTCCCGTTGAGAGCATTTAACAAACCCCCACCACCCCGTCTCAAAAGACTCAGCCGAAGAACCTCACCTATGCCCCACCAGATCGAGAAGAGTATTAATGTGACTCGGACTATCCAAGGACCACTGAAATAACCGAGTTGGGTATGAGCTTGACCACGGATCCACGAGTGGAAGTATATCAAATACAGGATGCAGAACAAACCAAGAACGACCAAAAGGGAAACGAGACAAATTGTCAAGGCACCTAGTGCATCACCGAGTACCTTCAAATGGGACATTACCCAATGCACTAATTCCACACATGCTTTTCTCTTTCAGCATTGATGCCAGAAAAATTCAACCCCAAAAAACACATATGATAATCTTATGTCAAACCTTTCCCCACAATCTAGTGTTCTTTAGTTCTTTATTTTCAGTCACCAGGAGCAGATTGCGATATAACCTGCAAACATTAAATCAGCAAAATTAGAAACCCACATTAGAAATATAAGTTGATAACACAATGAGAGGAGTGTTAGAACAACAACTCAACAAGGTAACTTTGAGATCATTACATCTAAATAATCTTTGGTGAGAGTTTCAAACACAAAGCAGCATACAAATTGAAACAGTTGCAGAGACAAAGAGACCATTAAGCGTGTAATGCTCTTCAATGTGATAAAGCAATCATAAAGTTTCATACAAACATTCCTCTTCATCATTATATTACTCGGGGGCACCTACAGTCATACTAGTAACCATCAAACCATTTTTTTAAACACGATGAATTTTGAAAACATTCGTAAATTGTCATCCACAAACTCTTCTCTTCTTCATTTTTTAAAAAGGCACACTTAAGACATTTCATTACTCATAAAATAGCCAATTTATCAAATTCACTAAGCAATGTGTTTTTCCAATAAGGCGGTAATTATCACCTGCCAATTTCAGTTTCCACTCTGGAACTTCAAATCTAAAGTTGGTAATAAAAATAAACCAAAGAGGGACAAACATGCAGTAATATATGAATGAAGCATGTGTACGATTCCCCTATTGAATAATCAAAACAAAACCACGCAAAATGTAATAGCAGTACACCAAATACAACGGGGAAAATACATACAAAGATAGACATCCTTTGTTGGAATAACCATTGTACAATCCGAACATTTCTTAGCAAGAATTCGAGCTCAAAATTATCGTCCTATTTCCTTTCACGTTGCTGACAACATGCACAGAGAAAAACTACAGTCCCTTCCATAACAAGAGTAAGACTGAACGGAATCAGAATCAGAATAGAGCTTACGAGTCGGAGAGGGAGGATCCGTGGAATACGCACGCCGAACCGATGATTCCACCGATACGAGTGCGAAACCCTAAGAGAGATAAAGCACCCTAGAGAGAGACAACAGCTGGGAGGTTGCAGAGGGAGGAAGGGAAAGACGGAGGAAGGTGTGAAGAATGGAAAGAAAACGAGGGGGGATCAGCGTGTTACATTGTTGGTGACAGCCTGTCACCAGCGAATAAACCAACTGCATTTAGATATAATTAACCATTTAATTACTAATCACTAAGTAGACTAACAACTAACATGTTTTTACTTGGATCGGTTCCAGATCAAACAAGATCAAATCTGACCAAATCTCAACTGTTATAAATTAGGGAGATTTAGAAAATTCTACGGAGTATTTGATTGTTTACATTTTTATGAAATCTTGTTTGAATTAAGACACATATATAGATTAAGATGTATATCTGGATTAAGTGATATTTGTGTATGAATTTGTTTATTTTGTATGCTGAATAAGTAATCTGAATTGACTAAATAATCAATTTAGTGTTATTCTCGAGTTATAATTTCAAAGGGATACCTTGTTGAGCATCTCCTCAAGGAGTGCCGACCTGGTGAACTTAGGTTAGCTCCAGAAGAGTTATTCGAACAGAAATTTCATCTATTTCACATAAATCTATTCCACGGTTAATTTTATAAAATTGATAGAATCGGCGTCTTAAGGGAAAGGACCACTGTTCTCCCGTTTAATGATTTTTTTTATCGTTATTCTCCAGTGTAATGATTAAATCACTTTCTTATTGAATTATTAAATCATATTTTTAATTAAATCGTAAACAAATATGACTTAATGATTGAACAATTAAATCATTATTTTCATTAAGTCTATTAAATTTAGAATAAACAACCCTAAGTGGTGTCCAATTTAAAAGGTCATTATTCATTCAATAAATGTGATATGAAATACAGAGTAATAATATTAAAACTTCATACTTCACTATCAATTTATGAAAAAATCATTAATAGTTTGCATGTTCATAGCAAAATCATAATGTTTTTTTTACTTTTCCAATGATTTTTTTAAATGACTTTTCATTGTGAACTTTAAAAATATAGGAATATATTTAGGAGGTAGACGGCGACGGAAGGGTAGGCACAAGGTACCTCTAATAAATTTGAATGACCGTGTTTATGAGACTCGCATATAAATAAAAATAAAATCACAAAAGATATAATAAAATTTTAACAAACTTCAAAACTATAAACTAATGATTATAACTAAAATAAATTTAGTTGCAGTAACTTAAGTTCAATTTCTACATTAAGTGACTACGGCATTATACTCATGTTATTTTTAGTTATTTTTTTGTGAATATGTTTTATTTATGTAATATTTTCAGAAAAACCTCTGACAATAACCCAAATAGTTTAACTCTAAACTTTAATCAAATGCTAACAAAGCAATAGTTTAATATGAAGTGCAAAATCTAAAAAATGGAAATTGAATTTTTTGAAATCTAAAATAAAAAAACTAATCTAAAATGAGTGATTGATTAATTAACAACAATCAATTAAATTTAAATTTTCATCATAACAGTAAAGTCAACCACATAAATACTAAAAAAGTCGAAAGGCCGATGAAGAGATGAAAATAACAGTTATTCAATTCGAATAAAATAAACTGAATTAACTAACAAACCTTATATGTAGAAGAATGATAGACGATTCTGGATTCGGGTAGTAGTCGAGAAGCGGTTGAACCACTTAAGCAAGAGCCGATCCAAACGAACTGGCGAAATAATGAGGGGCCATCGTCCACTCCCGTTTTTCTAATCCATCATTGTTTTTAAGAATGTGAATCAATAACTCTATAGTCTATAAGACTGTATATTAACATCACACAATGACATTTCACTCATATTATTAATATATTTCTATATTAGAATATTACTCTTTTTAAATATTCAAGGTTCCGAAATGTGTGGGCCCTGTTACAAAGAACACATGTCAACACTAATTGACTTGGCAAAGGTTCAAATTGAGTTGAATTTGTATAAAGTGTTTTTTTTTTTTGAAAAAAATAAATATCATTTTTTAAATTTAGAATGGCCTAGGGGAAATAAAAATGAGCTGATACGCGTTTTAAGTGAGAAACTTATGCCATATGAAAGTACTCTCTCTAGGGTTTCTACTGCTAGAGCTTCCTGTCCGCTATCGTTCTCGGTCGAGGAGCAGTGTCGTTTCTTCGGTAAGTTTGTCCATGTTTGAGGAGTCAGCTGGTGGAAATCTGTGGAAGGGTCTTCGGTTGAACGAAGGCTGCATCGTCAATTGTTAGTAGCGAGGGTTTCGAGACCATGTAGAGGCCGGCTGTAAAGGTTTCAGGCAAGAACAAAGGCCAGTTTCGAAGCGAGCAGGGGAGGGTGGCTGCATGGAACGGGTCGTTGATCAGTACAAGAAGATGAACATTGGCTAGGTTGTTGAGGAGCTGGATCTGGATGATGGGAACTTGATGATGTTCCAGCCGAGGAGACTCGTCCGACCTACTCAGTGGTGGGAGTGTTGCTTACAGACAGGAAAATCAGATTTTCGATGTTCAAAGACCTACCCGATGAGCTTTTGGTGTTCAAACAGCCTCATCGCTGTGGAGGCCGAGGAAAGGTGTCGCGATTAAAGAAGTCAGTGATAAGAGGTATCTCTTTACTTTTTATCATTCTGTTGATATGAATGAAACGTGTGCTTGATGGTGGTCCATGGCAGTTTGAGAGGAATTTGCTGATTTTGAAAGAAATTAAGCTTGATGATATTCCGCATAAGATCTGTCTAAATGAGGCTAAGTTTTGGGTAGAAGTTCATAATGTCCCATATAGCTTGATGAATTTAGGTACAACCAGGCGGGTGGGTAATTTTATTGGGAGTTTTGTTAGTTATGATGATAAACAATTTGGAGATAAATGGGAATCTTACTTGCGTGTGGGAGTTTGTATGAATGTGGAAAAGCATTTGAAAAAGGGCACTACACTTAAAAAGGGAGGTGTCGGGCATTGGGTGAATTTTAAGTATGAGAGGTTGCCCAATTTTTGTTTTGTCTGCGGAATCATAGGACATTCTAAAAAATTCTGCCCATTGGCGTATGAAGAAGATTTGGTGTTGGGAAAAAGATTTGTGGTACACCTCATAGCAGGTAGTGGGGTGAAGACTAGTTCAACAGGAGGAAGTAAGTGGTTAGTGGATGGATCTTCAAGCTTGAGTCGGGATCCTCAAAACAAGGAGGATAACAAGTCAAATCGATGGACGGGTGGAGGAGGTAAGGACTCCATTTTTGAATGTCCCCCTATTACTTACTGTCTCATACCATATTTAGTAACATTTATGTGGCTCTAATTCATTCTTACTTTATTCCCACTTTATCAACTCATTATCAATCACATAATTCTACTTTTCTTAAAAACCACACCACTCCAATCTGTCCCAATAATAGGGGGACGGAGGGAGTATAAATAAAAAATAAAAAAATTGAACTTTATATTCATACTTTATAACTGCGTTATTATATAAATAAATTATTTAGTATTACATTTTATATTTTTATATTTCGAATATATGTATTTAGTATTTACAAATCACTTAGATATTTATTTTAAGAGTTTATATTTCATGTTTTTATATTTTAGCATTCAGGAGAGTTACAATTTTACGTATAGAATATAGGGAAAATTCCCAAAATATGAGTAAAAATATTTGGAAATTTCAAAATATTAATGTTATGTTTTTCTTCCCAAAATAGAAGTAATGTGACAGTATTTAATGCCATCTTAGAGTTATTACTAACAAAATGGATGTAGTATACTAGGTCTTAACATGACAATACTTACTGCTATTAATGGTAATAGTTTTCAATCATGCTAGATTGTCAGTAATGGTTCTTTTTTCTTTGTTTTTCATTTTTCAAAATAGTAGGTAATTTTTTTTCTTTTTCATTTTCTTTCCTTTTCCTTTTCTTTGTTGCCCCCCCCCCCCCCCCCCTCTTCGTCCATCTGCAACTCCAATGTTTGTAGAGTCCGTATATCGTACAACTGCTTGTAATTTAGGTTATATTACTAGTTTGTACTATTAGTCTGTATATCGTACATCTGCAATGATAGCATTTTCATGATTTAGGTGAAAATATCGACTTCTATTAAGTGAGCATCAAACACTTTTCGTGAGCATCCACACATTTTATTGAATATTAGGGTCTAATAATGAACATCATGATCTCTGTTTTATACGGAGTATCTGGTTATTTTTTTTCTTATTATTTCTTGTATAAAAATTTCTTAAATTATATATATGATCAACTCTTATGAATTCCGATATGAGAATCTAATTTAGGCCATGCGTTTTGCCTAATCTAATTTCTTAAATTATATCTATGATCAAGTCTTATCAGTTCCAACTCAAGCCCTCGGTTTCTAAGAGCATCTTTAATGGTACAATGTGCACGGTGCACACGTGGCATGAGAGATGACCACATAAATATTAGTAAATAAATTATTTCTCTCCTTATTTGAATGATTTTATACAGTTTTGGTAAGTTATTCTCCACAATGTCAAAGAGACCGTCTAATGTTGACATTGTTGTTGACATTGCAGGGAAAAACTTACTAAAATTATATAAAATCATTCAAATAAGGAGAGAAATAATTTATTTGCTAATAATTATGTGGCTATCACTCATGACACATGTGCACCGTGGACATTATAACATTGAAGATGCTCTAAATGAGCAACGATGGATGTGTTTCACATGGAGGAATGATGATCTGCCCTTTTCCTTTTTTTAGTTGTTTGAACAGAACAAAGTAAGAGCGATGATATCACACATATTTGACATAGAAAAATAGAATTAGAGATTTAAAAAGCATATATGAAGGGCTAAAGATCAAATCAGGTTAACGAACTAAAAATCGAATGATGCTGTGAAACAAATTTTAAGTATTTACTTAAAATTGATCGCAAATAATAATATATGAAAATATCGGGTACAATCTCTAAATATGAATCCTCTGATTCTTCACTTGCAATTTGATATGAATATAATTAAAGAATTTAATTAAAAATTAAATCTTTAATTCTTCAAAAACTTGAACGTTCTTCGGATCTTCGAATCTTCGTTCTTGAGATCTTCGAATCTTCGAACCTTCGTTCTTCGGATCTTCAAATCTTCTTGAATAAAGAATTCAGCTTGAAG